TCAGCCGTGGATCCAGGAGGACACCCAGATTGCGTACCCTCTCTGAGGGAGCCAAAGTTTCGCCCCCTATAGTCAGCGATGGAGTCAGCTGACCATACCTGGGAGCCGGCAACCACAGCCACTCAGTCTTGGAAGGGTTGAGCCTGAGTCTGTTTCTCCCCATCCAGACCCGTACGGCCTCCAGGCATCGGGTCATCACGTCAAGGGCATCATTGGGATGGCCAGGGGTGGAAATGTACAGCTGAGTATCATCAGCGTACTGATGGAAGTCCACCCCAAAGCCCCGGATGATCTCCCCCAGCGGCTTCACATAAATCTTGAACAATAAGGGGGAGAGGACCGACCCTTGTGGCACCCCACAAGTTAGGGGCCTTAGGGCCGACCTCTGTCCCCCTGCCAATACAGACTGTGTGCGGTCGGAGAGGAAGGAGGAGAACCACCGTATAACGGTGCCTCCCACTCCCAGCCCCACCAGACGCCGCAGCATGATACCGTGGTCCACCGTATCAAAAGCCGCTGAGAGGTCCAAAAGAACTAGGACAGAGGAATAACCCCTGTCCCGGGCCCTCCAGAGATCATTCACCAATGTGACCAATGCCGTTTCCGTGCTGTAACCCGGCCTGAAGCCCGACTGGAGCGGGTCCAAATAGACTGTTTCCTCCAGGTGTCGGGGGAACTGCTGCGCAACCACACTCTCAACAACCTTCGCCACAAAGCGAAGGTTGGAGACCGGACGATAGTTAGCTAATACATCTGGGTCCAGGGAAGGCTTCTTAAGGAGGGGCCTCACCACCGCCTCCTTCAAGGCCGTGGGGAAGACACCCTCCCATAAAGAAGCGATTATAATTCCCTGGAGCCAGGCTCGTGTCCCCTCCCGGGCAGCCAGTACCAGCCAGGAGGGGCACGGATCCAATAAACATGTGGTTGCATTCAGCCTCCCCAGAATCCTGTCCACGTCCTCAGGAGCCACAGAGTCAAACTCGTCCCATACAACAGTCTCAAGACTTGCTCCTGTTTCCTCCCCCGGGGCCACCCAGTCAGAGTCAAGACCTTCTCGAATCCGAGCGACTTTGTCATGCAGATATTGAGCAAAATCCTCGGCCCTCCCCTCCAGGGAATCCCCTCCCTCCCTCAACTGAAGGAGAGAGCGGGTCACCCTGAAGAGGGTGGCCGGGCGATTATCTGATGATGCAATGAGGGTGGAGTAGTAGTTTGACCTCGCCACCCTCATCGCCACTAGGTAGGATCTAACCTGTATCCTTACCTGTGTTCGGTCAGATTCGGTTCGGCTCGCCCTCCAACTGCTCTCCAGGCGTCTTTTCCGGCGTTTCATCTCTCTCAGCTCCTCGGTAAACCAGGGAGCCAATTGAGATCTGCGCCGGGTCAGAG